TTTCGACATTTTCACTTTCGACATTTTCACTTTCGACATTTTCACTTTCGACATTTTGTTTTTCTGCATTCACAACTTTCGACATTTTTTTCGTTCGACATCCTACCTTTCGACATTTTTACTTTCGGCATTTTTTTTTCGACATTTTCACTTTCGACATTTTCCCTTCGACATTTAACCACTTTACCCTTTGCTAATGTACAACGAATAGAATAAGTCTGCTTTCTGCTTCTTCTTTTTATTTGTATTTATATAAATTTTAATATTTAGGACTCAAATTTTGGTAATGAGATCGAAATGAAGTTAAACAAACAATACTGACAAAAAAAAATAATATTGATTTATAAGTACGACCCAATGTAGATGATCAAAAAACATCAACTGGAGATATTCTATCAATAAAGTAAATAAAACTAGTAATTGAAATAAGTACTTCTAATAATAAATTATTTTCTTAGATCATTTGTTATGCATAAATGTCGACCTCTTGGTCGTTTGAAAATAAAATATTACTCATGCTCAAAGAGTAATACAAGAAATAAAAGATGATCATCTACTAATCGAGTAACAATACTTGATGATGTACAGAGTGTCGCAAAAGTCCGTTAGAAAAGTACATTCGTATAAGTTTCTTATACGAATGTACTTTTCTAACGGACTTTTGAGACACCGTGTAGATATAAAATAATATTGATAAACAACAATGTGATGAATTACTTATTCCGATGCCAAGTGTTCTTAAACGTCAATCGTTATTTGAAACTGAAGCGGACTCTAATGCTATATATTTTGCGTATATCACAAAGAGTTTCAGCTTATAATAATGCACGTGCTAAATTAACTTTATATGTGTTTTGATAGGATAAAGTTCAAATAACTCATGCAATAATGCACAAATAAATCACATAGAAACTATATCTCTTTACTTTTCGAACTCAGTTTTTTTTCTGAGTGATAATTGTACTTGTTTTATCTTTATCTTTTATATTTTATCACTAAAACAATTGATAGAATCAAGAAATAACACTAGTATTTCGGCGTATGACAAATAGCCAAACTGTTTCGACTAACAAGTCGATCGTTCTTTTTTTCTATGCCACTATTTTCTTCAAGTGGCCAACAAACTTCTTCCAGATTACTATATTCTTCATTTCGTCATAATAAATTTTCTACAGTTACAGAAAATCCATCAATTATTTCTAAATCAGAATCATCATTTTATCCTACAACGAATATTCGACGTAAATGGTGAAAAGAATCTGTAGTATATCAAATTTATCCACGATTATTTCAAGATTCTAATGGAGATGGAATAAGAGATATACGTGGTAAATTTTTTTTATCAACAAAAGGAAATATTTTGTCATTTCTCTTTCATAGGTATTATTCAACGACTGAATTATATAAAAAATCTTGGAGCTGATCTTATTTGGATTTGTCCAATTTTTAAAAGTGCTAATGATGTAAATATTTTTCATCCTATATCGAAAATTACAATTGGCTTTTACTCAACAATGTCAAAAATCCAAAAAATGTCCACTTTACCTAAAGTCCGCTAAGAATATATGGAACTTTGTATACCTAATGAAATATCAAGTATATCAGTAGTTATTGAAAAAGCAAAATATGAATAAGGGTGTGGGTGTGGGTGTGGGTGTGGGTGTGGGCAAGGGGGAAAAAGCAGATTTCAAGATTTCAAGATTCTCAAAGATTTCCAAAGATTTCTAAAGATTTCTAAAGATTTCCAAAGATTTCCAAAGATTTCCAAAGATTTCTAAAGATTTCTAAAGATTTCTAAGAATTCTCAAAGCTTTCTAAAGACTCGAATTAAAGAAAATCTGCGTGCTTTGATAAACCTCTGCTTGAGAACTTGTTCAGTCTCATTCCCTTTTCTGAAACAAAGGATTATATGGCGATAAATAACGCGGTAAAAAGCTAAAATAAGTTTGTCCAACCAATCAGAAATGAGCTTTTCTATATTAAGGTTTTTCAGCGTTCTGATGGCACTTTGCTGTAGGTTATCGATGGCCAGGAATCCAAATCTGAGGTCAGTTTTTCGATCTGACTGTCCATTGGTCAGAAAATGGACCAATCAGAAACGACCTTTTTTTATATTAATGTTTTTCGGTGTTCTGATGACACTTTGCTATAGGCTATCGATGGCTAGGAATCTAAATCTGAGGTCAGCTTTTCGATCTGACTGTTCATTGGTCAGAAAATGGACCAATCAGAAACGACCTTTTTTATATTAAGGTTTTTCGGTGTTCTGATGGCACTTTGCTATAGGTTATTGGACACGAGGAGCCGGAATCCGAGACGTGATTTTTATTTGAACTTTTATTGGTCCGCAAACCGACCAATCAGAAATGAGCTTTTCTATTCTTCGAGTTTTTGGGTATTCTGATGACACTTTTCTATAGGTTATCGGAGACAACGAATTCGAATGAAAGGTCGGATTTTTTATCTGAGCTTTCATTGGTCGGAAAACCAACGAATCAGAAGCGAGCTTTTCTATTTTTATCTTTTTGGCCATTCTGATGAAACTTTCCTATAGGATATCGGGGGCGGAGGATTCGAATCCGCGGTCGGATTTTCGATCTGAACTTTTCTTGGTCGGAAAACCGACCAATCAGAAACGAGCTTTTTGATTTTTCGCTTTTCGGGCGTTTTGATGAAAGTTTACTATGGGTTATTTGGGACGAGAAGCTTGAATCCGAGATGAGGTGTTTTATCCGGGCTTTCACTGGCCAGAAAGTCGAGCAATCAGAAACGCGGTTTTTTCTATTTTTTGTTTTTTAGGTGTTTTCATGAAACATTGTTATAGGACATGAGGGGGAAGGAACGCGAATCTGACATTAGTTTTTTCATCTCGCTTCCTATTAGTCACAAAATTCATCAATCAAAAATGGAATTTTCTGCTTTTCGACTATGAGAGATTTCTATGTAAGTTTTCGGTTCTTAATACATGTCAAATCGTCGAACTTCAAGTTAGATTGACCTAAATGTTATTGTATGCATTGTTTTTTTAGAATGTCAATAAAGACACCTTGAGTTTTTGTATTGTAATGTGTGAGGTATTTAGAGAAGCGACGAGTCGAGAGTGGCGTCCCGTAGGGATGCCGACGAGGATCTGGTTCGTTTATTTGAGGTGAGAAACGTTTTTTCAGAAAGATTCGCGCATTATTTCATTCTTGAATTGAGAGTATTCATTCAAATGAAAGTACACAGAATTTGTACCATCCATGTATTTATTCCCTTATCTGAAAGAAAGGGTGTTAAATGAGAAAATGTATCTATGTTTGTTTGTCTGGTTTTTGTTGCTCTCAGTCAGTCAGTCAGAAACGAGCTTTTCTATTCTTCACAATTTGAGCATTTTGATTGAGCTTTTCCGTAGGTTATCGATGGCGAGGAACTCACACCAGTAGTCAAATTTTTATTCGAGCTTTCATTGGTCGAAAACTTGACTAACCAGAATCGAGCTTTTCTATTTTTCAGGGCTTTGATGAAGCTTTGCTGTAGGTTATCGAAGGCCAGAAAATCGAATCTTTGTTAGGGTTTCTCATTCGAGCTTCTATTGGCCAGCGACTGGACCAATCAGGTACAAGCTATTCTATTTCAAGGCTTTTAAATTTTTTGATGAAGCTTTAAAATAGGTTATTGAGGTTAAATAGTGGAATCCGAAGTTGGATTCTGAAATTTTTTTTCAATTATTTTATAGTATGATTAAAGGGACTCTGACTTTTGTACCTGAATGTGTGATGCATTCAGAGAAATTTCTGTTTCTTAGTCTTATCGAAAACGGGTTTTGGTCGTTCTACCAGACAGCAGAGTTTACTGTGAACTTTGTTTGAAGATGCATTGGAATGTCTTACTTACTGTTGCTTAAATTAGAACATAAGAGCAGTGATCTATGTAAAAAAATAGCAGTCTGTACTTTCCGCTCTGTGTAGTGCAATATTCCGTTTACTATAGCCCTTTGGCGTCAAACTCAGGATGAAAATTTGATTTTTTTCAATTTCAGTAGTTTTTGCTCTTTCACATTTTTTGTAAGTAATAAAAGATATTTATTATGTTTTGTGACTATGATCATATAGAGTCAGCTATCAGTTACAATCGACCATACTTCAAACAATGACAGGCTATTAAAGAAATATAAAGAATTATTCATTCTATGTATAACTGTCTCTTATCTTAGTTTGATTTTTTTATTTCACTGTTAAGTGCTTTTTATAGTTTTATAGATCTATCATATACTTACACACAGCAGCTATCATTTTCTCGTAGCGAGTTATTTAATTGTTATTATTCGCTTAGTTATAAACGAAATGAGCATTGATCCTGACAACGGTAGTGGTAATTATGGCCGTGTTAGTTTTCGTCTGGGTGCTGGTTTTAAGCGAAAGAAAGAAAAATCATGGATTTAAATTATATTAAATGAAAGAAGAGAATGAGCTACACGAAGACAAGAAATGTCGAGATATAGAACTTAACTGACACAATGGATAAATGAAATAAGAAATGATCTCAATATAGATACATTAGATAACACTGATTAAACTTTTATTAAATAGAAACATATTGAACAATATTTTTGGACTTAGTTAATAGAGTAGTAGATATTCACTAGAGATGTTTCTTTTCATATAAATCAGTTGTTATCTATATCAAATAAATAAGTTTTGGAGACAAAGAAAATTCATATTACACTTTTTTCGACATACAGTTTTGTTTATTCACCCTATAAAGCCAACCCAATCATTAGTTGATATTATTATACCATTTGATAGTCCACAGTGTCCTCTAGCAAACACCAAAGCATGGTCATAAAATAACAAAAAAACCATTGCAGGAGAAGTGATTACCTAGACACACCCTTATCCTGAGTTTGACGCCAAAGTACTATAGAAGAAGAGGTATTAGGTGAGAAAATTTATGTATGTTTATTTGTTTGTTTGTCCTAACAAAATAGATTTCAGATAGCTTCTCCAATAATAAGCTTTCCATTTCGTATTGCTTCTGGCTGAAAATTCAGTCAATCGAGTATTTTTTGCCATCTAGCTTTTGACTCGTTAGGTTTTCAGGCTTGATATTAAGTCAATCAGGTGTTTTCGGGTATGTATGTAGGCTTTGGCGTGGTTGTGAGGGTCGGTGTAGACGTTGGGTTGTGTTGGATAGGGTGAGTATCGGTCGGGAACGTGGAGTGAGTATAGGTTGATATCTGTCTTCTCTGTGTTCCCGCGTACACCTACACCTGAGGAGAAAAAGAGTATTTCTGTATTTTTGTGTCTCCAAGTATTTCCATGTATTTTGAAGTATTTGTAAGCGTTTCTGATGTATTTCTATATATTTCTAATGTGCTTCTACGTATCTCGAAATACATAGAAATACACGAGAAATACTTGGAAATATACAGAAATTCAGAAACACGCTTTTCTTCCTTGCTTACATCCATACCGAAAATTGAGGTATAAAACTGGCAATGCTATTCACTTATCTTGATGCAGAAATAGGCTGCTAAATTATTCACAAGTAACGCTCGTGTACGTGACTCCCTTGACCCTCGACTGAATATTCAGCTATTTCAGTATTGTATACTGCTTCGCAGTCGTCAACACAGCTAGTAGCACAAGTTTGAAAAGGGTAGATGTGAATGCAAATATTGACATTCGCATTAATGTCCTTATGTACAATGACGTGCGTGTGTCTGTGATACGTTTTCTTATAAATTCATCCAACGAAACTGAGACGCTCTCAATGATATCCAACAGAAATCTAAATGAATAACACTAAGGTAGCAGTATCCACATGCCTCGAGAAAAGAGATTACATTTAATATACAGAGAGACAATCAAGAAAGAAAGCACATCCACGACACTAGCATGAAAATGCATCATACTTCTTGAAAACTAGTAAAAACCCGTACAGTTACCAGCACATCAACCGACAATATCATTTGTTAGTGTCCACTACAAAAACATGTATATAGCTGAACTTTTAGATTAAAACAAATTATATTTGCTCAGACTTATTCTCGAAATACGCCAATTGAATGACGCTCTTATTCAAAGTAGTCATCGGATTAGACAGATAATTTCAAAGTATTCGAATAAATTTAGACGAGTACATGCACCCAGACACGGACACATAATGACAGAAAAACTTATTTGATTTCATTGAAATCTACTTTGAACGGACAGAACTGAATTCATTACATGATGTTTTGCGTCGAATGTTCTATTCAAATACTGTGCACGTGCGGTACAACTGTTCTCACATATCATTCGAAAATATTTCTTAGTCTTTTTTGTCAGTTCCAGTTTCTATTGAACTTACCAGATCTTCACTGAAGACATTTTTCCGATGGGTTATAACAATCTGGAGCATTCCTTTAGGGAATTTCCAAAAGCAACAGGTAGTCACTCATCAGTGCCTCTTTGAGGCGCCATTCACGGCTAGCCGCTACTATGCCGAATTCTATTCCCGTACAAGACCAGTCGCTTTGATTTACACTCTATCAGATTCTAGATTTCGCTTAGTTCCTGTTAGCGAGTAGTTTCGA